GAAGCCAACTTTGAAGTGCGATGCACGGCAGATCCGATGCCGGGCCTTTCGACGGGCCCCGATCGGACGGCCGCCGGAAAAGGTCTGATCCGGCGGGCCATGATCGGATCCTGCGCCACTTGGAAAGCAACGACGCACGGAACCACGGAGCCCCCGGGTCGCCCGGGCACAGGACGACAACGCGCTGGTCTGAGTCATCAGCAACGGCGGACTTCAAACATTGGAACGTCTCCTTCAAAGGCGCGCGCGGCGGGTGCGCCCACGCCGCGTGGCCGCGCAGGTCGGCCTCGAAAGCAGAGGGCTCTGGAAATCGCCACTCGCGGGCGAGAGCCGCCCTGCCGAGTCTATCTGCGAACGCGCCCAGCGCAAACTGAACGCCGCGTCTTGATTCGACCTCTTGAAACAAGGCCTTGCGGAGAGCGGCGCCCCTACACATATCCTCGCGCCAGGAGTTGCGCGAAGTCCAAGAACCGAGAACCCGCGTCTGGCATGGCGTTGCTCTTGCCAGGGATGTGCAGGACCAGCGCCCAACATTGAGCCGCCCGCTCGGCACTTTCGAGCCGATGCGCCAAAGACTCGAGGGGGGGTATCCGCCCGTGGCGCACGTTGACGCAATGCGCGGCCGCGGAATCGTCGAGCCCGAACAAAAGTCGCCAACCCTTCAAGGAGGAAGACTCCCCGAGAAGGGACTGGACTGCAACCCACAACTCCTTGTACTTGATTTCCAAGGAGTTGGGCTGCGCCCCCCAAATTGCAAAGTCTCCGGGCCACGTCTCGGCTACAACGCGGCTTTCCCAACGCAGACGGCATGACCAGCCGTGCGTTTTGGAAGCGTCGCACTCCGCGACCTGGATCGCGCCTCTGCGAGCAAGGTTCGCCCAATCAGCGAACTCGGGGGATTTATGGCCCCACATGCTGAGACGACCGCCGCCGCAATGCAAGGAACGCACTGGGGGCGTACCCAGGGAGGGGCAGATGTGCGCCAGGGCTGCGCGACTGAGCTCCGATAGGGGCGCCGGTGGGTCGGCCACGGGGCTGGAACGCCACGCCGAATACAATCCCGACGCGTTAAAAGCTGCCCTAAGAGGGCGTAGCCGGCGACGCAACTGTGGAAGGACCTCCGCGATGTGCGAGGCCGAACCTACTGCCGATGCTAGCTGTTTGCTGCGGAATATGGGGCGTTGGTCTCCCGGTAGACAACGGCGCCGCACAACTCGCGACAGCGGTCAGTCTCTTCACGCGACACGATGATTACGCAGTCGACAGTATCGAACACCCAACCGATCCAAGTTTGTCGGCGCGTTGGTGCACGGATGCCGCCGGGCTTGGTACCGACGGGGATGCCACGCCGCAACAGAAAGCGAACTGCTCGACGCATTTTCTGCCAAGCCGTGATCTCGTCGGGTGCCGCGCCTAAAAGATCGCCAATGAAGTCTAACGGGTCCACTTCGGCAAACGGGCGGGGGATTCTTAAAATCTCCTTCGCGTTGGTATCGTTGATACCAGGTGCAGGCTTGAGGCCGAAAGGTAAACATATGCATTTCCCGAACGGGCGTCTGCCAGGGGAATAGAAACCTAAGGCGTACGAGTCGGCGTCGGACACGCGCCAGTTCAAAAAAAACAATCGCACAAGTCGAGCACGAACAGCCAAGAACCCGCGGACATGCGGGCCACTGCCTGGTCTACCGCGCCGTACGCGACGTCGGCATGTGGCGTGCATTCGCTGGCCCCCCCCCGCCGAAGATCGACGATTGAACGCGCTTTGAAACGCTCAGTTTCGTCGGCATCGGCGTCCGCCCCGGGGCGCGGCTTCAGGATTAAGCCGCGCGGGCTGACGTTGAGGTGTTTGAGCGGAAGGGCGTCGACAAGGAAAAAAGAAACCTTCCCGGTCTCAGCAGGGCGGTCCCATTCGCGCTCGGCCCACGCGAGCTGGGACGTGACGGAGGGACGATTGCGCGCCTGCCTCGGAACGACAGGCGACGCCCCGAGAGAGTGCCCGTGCCGCCAGGAATGCAGCCGGGCGGGGTCCGCGCCATTCGCGGACAGAAAATCGAAGCGCAGGTGAAGGCCAGGGACGCCCTCCCATTCCTGTAGAGCGGAATGTCCATCTCGGACCTCAGCTAAAAAAGCATCCATCTTCGGAAACGTGCTGCTTGAGCCAGCGCTGCGAGGAAATATGCGGGAGAAATCTATGGGAGGGGGGGACCAAGAGGAGGGTTGTAGCCTATGAAGAAAGAGGGGAAAAGGAAGGGCAAGGAAGGGAGCGAAGCGCGATTGTCTTCGTGGAGCCCCTTGCCTTCCCTCGGGAAACACCGCGCGCTGGTGATGTGCGAAGCAGAGCGTGGGCCGCAGGCGGATGGATCCCTCAAGTGCGGGCGCCGCTGGAATGTTTGCCACGAGCGCGCGGCCACTCCGGAGCGGGTGACACATAGCCTTTCGTCGACAAGGCTCGGAAGCTTCGCCCTCCTCTTCCTCCTCCTCTCCTGACTGGGGGGGGGGGACGGGAAGGAGGGAGGGGAGGCATGCTAGGTAAAAGTGTGTGAGAGTAGAGGGAAAGCGGGGATGCAGCTCGGAGGAGGCCGACGGTCGCTCGTCGTCCTTGCCGGAGTCTGGCGGAAATGGCCGCCCTCGTGTATATATAGTGCCTCCCGTGCCCCTGACTGAAGCCCCGGTTGGGCAGGGGGGAACGAAGGGAATAAATATCAGGGGGACGTAAGACCTGGGTACAGGGGACGCGGAAATCCCCGACGAGGTCGTCAAAAAAATGACGAGGCCGAGCCTGCATTTTGACGAGGCCTCCCGCTGCAGACATCCCACGAAACTCCTCCTCGTCAAAATCCGAGGCGCGGTCGTCAAAAAACGATGGCGAACCCGAGTCCTGGCAAACCCGGGTCTTACGCTCCCCCGAAAATATGGAAGCATAATATGGAAATGGATAAAGAATCGGCACGAGGGGGAAGTGCAGGAACACGAATGAGGCACCCAGGACTGCCGACCCGGTTGCAACGGACTCGCACGAAAAAGTATTGGATGGGGTGAGACGTGGTGCAGCCAGGACCGCTGACCAGCCGTCTCGGACAGATGGGTGATTTTTACAAAAGGGACGGCGAGGTGCCAGGACACGAATGGAACGGCACGAGTTGCCGCGAGGGTGCCACGGACACGCCCAATAGGATCTGGGGGTGTGAGGTGAGACACGGTGCAGCTAGGACCGCTGACCAGATGCGCCGCGGTGAGTAGCAGGCGGAAGGCATTGAAAAAGCCGAATACCTGATAGGAAAAATGGGCGCCGACCAGGTGCGGCGACGAGGAGCCTCACCAAGAGAATGGAACAGCCAGGACCGCTGGCAGGAGAAGGGCCCGACGACCAAGGGCATCGACAGAAACCGGCGGCAGCGCGGGGACGGCTAGTGGTCGTCGTGGTCGTCGTGATGGTGACCCTGTCCGGTCGGAGTGGTCATGGCGAATGTCGTGCAGGTGGTGGCTGTGGTGGTGGTCTTTGTAGTAGGTGCGTCGTCAAGGTGGTGGTCGCGAAGGTGGCCGTGTCCCGCTGTAGGGTGGTGGTGGTGGTGGTGGTGGTCGTCGTGCTGGTGAGCTTGGTAATTGTGGGTGGTGGTCGTGGTGGTCGTCGCGCTGGTGGTCGGGGCAGTTGGCCTAGCGCCCGAGCGCGCTCAGCAGCATCTCAGCATTGCCCTTTTGGAGGGATGCGCTGATTTGATGCCAAAGGCGACACCTTCAGCTCCCTTCCTACCTCCTCTCCGCCATGCGCGGGGGCAGATACGGTGACGCTTGCCCAGGTGGCCTTCGGTAACCGTCTGGAGCCCCCAAGCGGCCTTTCGAGGTCACCAGCTGGAAGTTCCCGCAACTTGCGTTGATCGCAAATCGTCGATTCTCCAGTCCGTCGGCCGCCCTGGCTGGCGACTGTTTAGATTGCCATTGGAGGCTAGGATGTTGAGCAAGGGGCCCAATGATGCCCTCTAGGAGTGCCGCAGGGTGCACGTGCAGTGCGCAAGGGCATAGCATGGCGTCTCCGATACCCGTAGACACGATAGCTTGCATCCCCGTGTGCTGAATGTTAGCTTTCTAGCGAAGCCTGTCTCAATTTCTCATCTTGGGAAGCGTGGGGAGAGTGGTAACACCATCCCCGCACTCTTGCGCATTGCACTCGCGGGCGCGCACTTTGGCTCAGGGCTCGCCCAAGCGAAGAAAACTGACCGAACCACGGAGCAGCAAAGCGCGGCAACGCCGACTGCTCTGCGGGCGCTCGCTCCTCCTCCTCCTTCTCCTCTTCCTCCTCCTCCTCCTCCTCCTCCTCCTCCTCCTCCTCCCCTCCTCTTCCTTCTCCTCCCTCGCCCCCTGCATCTCCTCAGCCCCCCCTCCTCCCCGCCCTCCAGAGCAGGGCGAAGGGCGAAGGGCGAGCATCCGATGGGGTCGGCGGGCCCCGAGGGTGCTCCTGGGCGCAAGAGCCCATCTGCGAGGCGCAGATTTGTCCATGGCCACCGGCTGGGGATGGGTCCTCGGGGACCTTAGCAGGCGGTGGACGTGGATATACAGTCATGCGCCGATGCAAGCCCCTTGGACGCGCATGTCGAAGCTTCTCGAGCGGGGATGGCCATCGAAAGTGGTGAAGGATGGACCGAAGAGTTGGGAAGGCGACCCATCCTTTCCATCGGTTCCGACTGAATTTGCCCCCCCTCCCCTCCAGGGCCCGAGATGTAAATACCCCATCGCCTGCTGAGGTCTCCAAAGATCGAGGTGGCGATCATGGATCAATCCTGGCCTCGGACTATGAGTACAAAGTTGGGTGAACCCGTGTGCCGGGTCGGGCAGTAAGGGGGGGTTCAAGGGAGGGTTAGCGAGCATTAAAAACGGCGACAGGGACGAATAGCCCAGGGGGAGCAATGCTTGTATCCAAAGGCGCCCATAGTCCATGTGTTCGGCGAAACTCCCCTGCAGATGCATGTAATGCCCGTTCCTGGGCCATTCGCCCAGATCGCCGCCTCCGAGAGCCAGCTCACGCAATCCCACCAGCCCTTTGGGCGCAGGTGGTCTAACGATGTCTTTCTTTCCTATTCCAAAATCCCCTCTTCCCCTTCGGGGAGGGGTTCATCACTGTTCCCTATGAGTGTACACCCCCTCCCCCAGGCGACTGGGAGCCAACCGCGGACAACGAGGGCCCCCCTAACATCCCTTGTAAACAAAAAAAACACACAAAACACACTCTGCCTCCAAATTCGGAGCATGCGCAGCGAACCCGATGCGGCCTCCCCCCACCATCCCTGTCAAACAACAAGACACAGTACACTTGGCGGCGGCGGCGGCGGCGGCTGCGGCGGGGGTAGCGGTTGCGGCGGCTGCGGCGGTGGCGGCGGCGGTGGCGGCGGCGGCAGGGGCGGCGGCGGCGGCGGCGGCGGTGGCGGCAGCGGCTGCGGCGGCAGCGGCTGCGGCGGCGGCGATTCGGCAGGGGGGGCGGCGGCGGCGGCGGCTGCGGCGGGGGTAGCGGTTGCGGGCTGCGGCGGTGCGGCGGCGGTGGCGGCGGCGGCAGGGGCGGCGGCGGCGGCGTGGCGGCGGCGGCGGGCGGCGGTGGCGGCGGCGGCGGGCGGCGGCGGCGGCGGCGGCGAGGCGGCGGCGGCGGCGGATTGGCCCCCAGTAGCTGCCCATCCAAAGACGACTGCTGAATATGCTGAGGCTCGGGCCAGGCTCGGGTGCTACGTATGTGTTGGGAGGGCGGGTGGGAGTGAGCGAGACGGCTTGCGGGCGGGGAGGGGGTCTTGATCACTGTTCCCTATTAATAAACACCCCCTCCCCCAGGCGACTGGGGGCCAACCCGAGTCCATGCCGACACCCCCCCACCATCCCTTGTAAAAACAATACAAAACACACTCTGCCTCCAAATTCGGAACATGCGCAGCCAACCCGATGCGGCCCCCCCCCCACCAACCCTGCAACAAAAAAAATACAAAGTACACTTTGCGGCGCGGCGGCTGCGGCGGCTGCGGCGGCGGCGGCGGCAGCGGCGGCGGCGGCGGCTGCGGCGGCGGCTGCGGCGGGGGCGGGGGCGGCGGCGGCGGCGGTTGCGGCGGCGGCGGCGGCGGCGGTGGCGGCAGCGGCTGCGGCTGCGGCTGCGGCGGCGGTGAGGCAGCGGGTGGCGGCGGCGGCGGCGGCGGCGGCGGCGGCGGCAGCGGCGGCGGCAGGCGGCGGCGGCGGCGGCGGCGGCGGCGTGGCGGGGGCGGCGGCGGCGGGCAGCGGCGGGGGCGGCGGCGGCGGCGGCGGCGGAGGCGGAGGCGGCGGATTGGCCCCCCAGTAGCTGCCCATCCAAAGGCGACTGCTGAATATGCTGAGGCTCGGGCTAGACTCGGATGCTACGTATGTGTTGGGAGGGCGGGTGGGAGTGAGCGAAGCGGCTTGCGGGCGGGGAGGGGGTACCTTGACCCCTCCCCCTACCCCCTCCCCTGGACCTGGACGGAGGGGGTCCACGAGGGGTTGGAACGCCCGAGATGGCCAACAATGGCTCCAAGACGGCCTCCGATCCTCCAAGATAGCCTCCAAGATCGCTCAATATAGCCCTACATGGCTCAATATAGCTAACCGCATGCCTCCAATAGGCTCCAAGAGGACCACAATACGGATCCAAATGCTTCTGGAGACCCGTCAGGACCCCCTCCGAGAAGCCGAAATCATTGGAGACCCAAAGGGGGAATTCATGATTTTGGTCTTCTCGCCGTTTCGCTTCCGATGCGTTTTTGAAGCCTCAAGATGGCCCCAAGAAGGCCCAAGAGAGCTCCAAGAGGGGCCCACGAGGCCCCCAAAACGGCCCCCAAACCGCCCAAGATCGCCCCAAGAGGGGCCCAATAGCGCCCCAAGAAGCGACGCTGATGGCTCTTAGGGGGGAGCTAGATAAGGGACGACCCTTTTGATCGATGGCCTACAAGATGGCCCCGAAGCTCCACGACAGGCCCAAGAGAGCCCCAAGAGGGCCCCAAGAGGCACCCGAGAGGCCCCCAAGAGGCCCCCGAGCGGCCTCAGAGAGTCCAAGATGACCTCCAAGATGGCTCAGATAGCCCAAGCTGGCTCAAGATGGCTCCCAAAATGCTCAAAAAAAGAAGAAGCCCCAATACCGTTCCATAAGCGCCCAAAAGCGCTCCAAGAGAGCCCCAAGAAACGGTTTGCGGGCTCCTGATGGGGGGAGCTGAATGGGGGACCCCCACACTCCTGTAATCGATGGCCTCCAAGATGATGCCCAGAAGCCTTCCAGGGTTACCAAGAGGGTTCCAAGAGGGCCCCCCATACTCCCAGAGAGCACCAACAGCAGCAACCGCAATAATACTTCTAGATGGTTCCATGAGTCCTCGTCCGCGTCGTCCTCATCCTAGTCCTCGTCCTCCTCGTCCTCGTCCTCATCCGCGTCCTCGTCCTCCTCGTTTTCCTCATCGTCCTCCTCCTCCTCCTCCTCCTCTTCCCCTCGCCCCCACGCGGCCCCCAGGGATGACCCGAAGAGGCCTTCCAAGGCCACCCCCTTGCTCCCAGAGATCGCTCGGTTCACCCTGGTTGCTCGCTTTGTTTCCCTGGATGTGTCTCTTCGTCCCTTTTCGCGTCAGCTCTCATGGGCAGTGTTTCTGGATGGGTTGGTGGGGATACTTTTTGGTCGGCGGCTCTAAAGCAACGGTCAAGGAGCGAAAGCGGCGTCCGGGTGGCGGTACGGGGCGAATTAGCAAACAAAGCCGCCAGTGTCGGCGGACAAAGCTCGCACCCGCAAGACAAACTCGCAGTTGCACGTGCACAGAGCAAACTGAACTAAATTCACAAGCGAACGCACATAGGCGCAGCAGCGTGAACCGAAGTAAACAGGCTGCCGAGAAGAATGTGCGGATGCAACGGAGTGAGTCCCCGGGGCTGCGCCAGACTCAATGCCGACCTGCACAAGCCGAACGGCTGTGCGGTGTAACCGAGACAATGCGCGGGGGAAGACCAAAGGCTGTACAGGCGTTGCAGGCTGAACCACTCACCGCCCGGTCCTCAGAAATCCACCTCCCAGTGCCGGGGGGAGCCAGCGGCAGCCCAAGGCGCACCGTGTTGCCGAATCCTGAAGCGGAGGGGTCCGCTGGCGTACCGAGACAGTGCGCGAGGGAAAACCAAAGGCTGTACAGGCGTTGTAGGCTGAACCACTCAGCGCCCGGCCTTCAGAAGCCCATCGCCCAGTGCCGATTGGAGCCAGCGGCAGCCCAAGGCGCAACTGTGTTGCCGGGTCCTGAAGCGAAGAGGTCCGCAGGCATGCAGCACCGCCGTCGGGCGGCGAGGATCGGCACATTGGTGGTGGAGACGTCTGCGCTGCCTGGCAGGGGGTGTCCTGCTGCAGCGAGGCTGGAGTGGCCAGCCGCCCCAAACTTTCGCGCGGCGCTGCCCCTGAACCCAAGCGTCGTCACACACCAGATGTCTCCCCACAGCCGTGGAAACTGCCGCCGGAATGGTCAAGGAAGACCAGGAGCAGCGCGAACCACGGGGCGAGCAGGGAGGGGGGGGCCACAGCCCAGCGAAGGCCGCTACGGGCAAGCCCTGAAGGCACGGGTGGGGGACACCCACCGGGCCAAAGGGGAGAGGCGAGGGGCGCAACGTCACGCCCCACGCCCAGCCTGCAGCCGAAACCGGGGGCCGCGGCCAGTCACATGGTGCGCCCAGGGGTAGCTGCTACTCGCCGAGAGCACCTGCGCGGAAGAACGGGGGGTCGCAGCTAACCGCCGCAAGGAACCATTTACACCGTGGGGGTCGCAGCAACTCGCCGCTGAGGTCCCAGTTAGGTGTGGGCCAGCAGCGAGATGCGCCTCCGGGGGGGGTCCTGAGGACTGGTGGGGATATTTTTTGGTCGGCGGCTCTAAAGCAACGGTCAAGGAGTGAAAGCGGCGTCCGGGTGGCGGTACGGGGCGAATTAGCAAACAAAGCCGCCAGTGTTGGCGGACAAAGCTCGCACCCGCAAGACAAACTCGCAGTTGCACATGCACCGAACAAAATGAACTAAATTCACAAGCGAACGCGCATAGGCGCAGCAGCGTGAACCGAAGTAAACAGGCTGCCGAGAAGAATGTGCGGATGCAACGGAGTGAGTCCCCGGGGCGGCGCCAGACTCAATGCCGACCTGCACAAGCCGAACGGCTGTGCGGTGTAACCGAGACAATGCGCGGGGGAAGACCGAAGGCTGTAAAGGCGTTGCAGGCTGAACCACTCAGCGCCCGGTCCTCAGAAATCCGCCTCCCAATGCCAGGGGGGGCCAGCGGCAGCCCAAGGCGCACCGTGTTGCCGAATCCTGAAGCGGAGGGGTCCGCTGGCGCACCGAGACAGTGGGCGGGCTGGTGGGGATACTTGTTTGGTCGGCGGCTCCGAGGCGGCGGGCAGGGGGCGGAAGGCGTCGTCTGGGCCAACAGGCGAGGCTAATTAGCTACAACAGGCAACGCACCTGCAGTAAAAATTCGCAAAGAATGCGAGGTGTGCACATGCATGGAGCAAAATGCTCCACATTAAGGCGAACGCACCTAGGCGCCAGCCGCACCGAGGTGAAGCAGACCGCAGTGCTATGCAACAGAGAATCGCCCTGTCGGCGCCAGTCCGCGCAACCAACCTAGCTGATCAGACAGGTAGCACCGAAGCGACACGCTGAAGGCTGAACCACTCAGCGCGAAGTGCCACCGTCGTAGGCGGGGTCGGCTGGAACAGGGGCAAAGGAAGGGCGAGGACCTACAGAGCTCCCACTCCACGATCCGAACCAGTCAATGGCCAGGAAGCAACGATGAAAGGACGCAGGCCCAAGCGCCAGTACCGCCGCCAAGCGGGTATCGGCCGAAGGGCGCAGAGGTACGCTGCAGCCGCGGCCAGCTCATGGGCGCTGGGGTGTAGTCAGGGCTGAATCTGACCACAGGGAGAGCCGGTGGACGGCGAGAAGCAACAAAACACTTACTCCGCGGACCGCACCGCTGCCCGGGGAGGGCCAGCGTGCCGTCATCGCATCCGAAACCAGTGACTGGTCGGGGGGCAACGATGAGAGAGGACACGCTGGCCCGGGGCCGGTATACTGCAACCTCACAGGAACCAGTCACGTTCGTCGCCGAGATTCCCAGCTGCCGCGACCACCTCATGGAGGGCTGGAACGCAGCTAGGGCTGAATCTGACTACGGGGTGGAGAGGGGGGTGCAGCCAACAGCCGCAGTGTACACATGTGTCGGTTGGAGGGGAGGGTGCAGCCAACAGACGCGATGAAACATGTCATGTACTAGGGGGGGTAGTGTGGGCTGCACACAGACCGCCGCCAGCAGAGTGGTGCGCAGGGGGGGGACTATTCCAGTCAACCGCCCCCGGCCGACCAAAGTGGCCGTCGAGAGACAGCAAAGGGGGTGGAGCCCGGGGAGGCGTCTGCGTCCGCCCCAGTCCCCAACCGAGCAGTCAGCCGTCGTAGAGGGCGGCTGTTGGCCTTGGGCAGGTGGGGCCTGCGGGCCCACCCCCACCAGCCGCAGGGGGGGGTGAGGTGGCCAGGCAAGGTCCACTTATCCAGTGTGGGCTGTCTAACTATGCAGCGCCTTGGGTGAGATGCTGGGACACCCCCGCCCCAGCGGGAGCTGCCCAGGGTATTGCGGCCAAGGCTGGGCGCTGCAGGGTGAAACTGTCTCCGGCGGGGAGAGGGCGGCGAGCGCCGGGGGGGTGTCGCTGTCGCCGAGCTGGGGGAGCAGGGGGCACCCCGTCGGGCGGGCCCATCCTTGCGTGCCCTTGGCACACTGGTCAAGTCAATCCCACCACCGTGCGCGCTAGTCGGTGTATGGGTCTTCTCCCCTGGGGGAGTAGCGTTTGCCTTTCGCTTTCCAATCGGTATCTGTCCACGGTGCGCCCTGGTGGTTCCAGGAAACCCATTCCTGCCATCCACGCCACGGGTTGGCGGAGCCGGATGCACCAGTCCATTGCTCCTGCGAGGACGCCTCTGTCGCCCTCTTGCCCTCCTTGGTCCATGGGGCGGGGCCGCTGCTGCTGTCAGTCCCGCGCTGCGTGTGGGGTCTGGGCTCGCGTTGCAGGAGCCTGGTATGTCTGTCCTTGACCGTTGGCCAATCGACGTTGAGCCCTAGGTCTCTGTCCATCTTGTATGCGTCGTACCCTGCGTTGCCACATGCCTGAAGGAATTCGCTGCACAGCTGCACGGCGTTCAGCTTGGGGTCATTGTTTTCTGACCCGATGGTCCCCTGCCTCTTGGCCGCCCTCCTCACCCATGCGACCCAGACCCCGTTAAACGCACCTCCCAGCGTCCTTTGCAGGCGTGGTATATTCTCCTGTATCGGTTCGTCCTTCGTAACATCAACTTCGTCGACCGGGCACATATCTGGTGGGGATACTTTTTGGTCGGCAGCTCCCTGGCGAAGGTCAAGAAGCGGGGCAACGTTCGGGGCGCGGAACGAAGATAATTGGCCGCAGTGGCGTATGCACATGCAAGGGACACCTGGCGGGGATACTTTTTTGATCTGCGGTTCCAAGGACGGTTCCAGAGAGCGGGTCGAACCAAGCATGGGGCGGCAAGCAAGATAATTGCCAGCGGGCCAAAATCCAACGCTGGAGTGCACATGCGAGGAACAAAAAAGAACCTCATTAAGCCGCGCCAAAACGGCAGCCAACGACTGTCTGGTGGGGATACGCGAAGCGTGAAGAATTGATTTTTCCAGCGCCTCCCGGCGCCAGGGGCGGCCATGTATCAAGAAAAGGGCATCGCGGCGCCGCCGAAACCAGCTGCATGCAGGTATCGTACCCCGTCCCCTTTTCCAATCCCCCACTTTTGTCCGATCGGAGGTGATCCCAAATAATTCGACTGGGGGATCCCTAAACCGTGCGGCGATCACAGTCTGGCAAGTCGAGAATGATCCAAGCTAAGTGGACATCCAAGGATGTCTCGAGTGCTCTCCCGAATTCAAAACCCGTCCAGTGATGGACCGTTTTGTGAGATCATTGCGATTTTGAAGGTGCATCGTATGGCCATTCGCCAGACGGTTTGGGGACCTACTGTCGACATTCGGCATCGAGGGCATGCGCCGGAGCAACCGACCGGCATCAATCCTTGACGTAGCTCCACTTGCCGTGGTCAAACTCCCAGTGCGGCTTGGCAGCGTCAGTCCCCTGCGTGGCGTCCCGATCAGTCCCCGATGCGCGCTTGGCGTTGTCGGCCACCTGCGTGGTCGTGGCGCCCTCTGTCCCCGAGACCACTACGAGATCTGCCAGCGAGCCTTTGGCAGCCTCGTGAAGGCCTCCAACGGCGTCCGCCACCGCACCCGCGGCCTTGCCCGCGTGGTGCTTCGCAGCTTCGTGGAGGTCCCCAGTCGCGTCTGCAGCCTTGCCGAGGCCCACAGAAGGCACCTAACACACCGCCATCGTGCCTTGCTGGGGCCACCCTGGGTCCTCGGATGGTGCACGGACCCTCGTGGCTTCGGCGACGAGGGCGCGCACAGCGTCTCAGAGGCCCCGAGCGGCCTTTGCCAGGCATGGCAGTGGGAGTATGAGTGCCTTCTGCGGGCCTTGCTCAAGTGGTGCTTCGCAGCCGCGTGGACGTCTCCGGCGACGCCCGCAGCGGCCTCCTGAACACCAGCGGCTGCATCGGCAGCCCCCTTCGCCGCCTTGCCCGCGTGGTGCTTCAGGCCCTCGTGCAGGTCCTGCGCGGCCCCGGCCACGGCGTCCGCCGCCTTGCCCGCGTGGTGCTTCGCGCCCTCGTGCAGGTCCTGCGCGGCCCCGGCCACGGCGTCCGCCGCCTTGCCCGCGTGGTGCTTCAGGCCCTCGTGCAGGTCCTGCGCGGCCCCGGCCACGGCGTCCGCCGCCTTGCCCGCGTGGTGCTTCAGGCTCTCGTGCAGGTCCTGCGCGGCCCCGGCCACGGCGTCCGCCGCCTTGCCCGCGTGGTGCTTCGCGCCCTCGTGCAGGTCCTGCGCGGCCCAAACATTGACCCAAGCTTGACCCCGGAATGGTCGAAGATGTTTTCTGAGACTCCGCCCCCCCGACGGTGTTTCCCACCTGGAGGGCGCCAGCGAGGTCAGCATCGGGGCTGCGCTGCCGGATGTGGGTGGGAAGCTCGGCTCCGCGCTGGGGAGACGGGACGGAATTGGGGAGGGGAAAGGGGAAGAGAAAGGGCAGGGTAGAGGGAGGAGGACGGGGAGATGAGAGAGAAAGAGAGAGCGAGAGAGAGAGCGAGAAAGAGCGAGAGAGAGAGATCGCACCAATTCGGACGATGGGTTCGTCCAGGCCCGCAGAATGCAATCTCCTGCGGGGCCGGCCTCATACTGGGGGAGGCGCCGCTTGAATGACAGGAGTGGAAAAATCCTCCCCCCCGGCGCGGTCGACAGGGACCCTGTCTGGACAAGCAGGCTCGATGTGGCGATCAAGGCGTGGCACACCCCGTCTGCACATCCGAAACTGAAAATAGACTCCGGCAACTAACACGTTTTGGCATGCGCGCCTCGGAGTCCGCAGAAAAGGAAGGCGCCGCGTCGGCGGCCAAGAACAAGTTGCAAGGTGCTCACGAACCGCAGGGACGAAAATCAGTGCAAACGGCCCAACCCGGGGCCGAGTGCGGAAAAGGTCAGAAGGCCTCAGCGCAAAGGAAGCCGGACACCTGATCGCAGCCAGGGGCCCTCAAGCGACGAAGCGTGCCGCAGACTACGCAACAAGTCCCGACCTGCACGGGAAGTGCACCTGCCGCGCACGCCCGAAGCGAGGCGAAGCGAACGCGCGATGCCAGTCCGACGGGACCGGCCCTGACGAGGGCAGCGCGGGGGGGCCCGAAGACCTCAGAAGACGCACTGCGAACAGGGGCTTGAGGTCGGAGATGGGGAATCAAGCTTGCTTGCGTTGTCGTCGTCCTTTTGTCGGCGCCGATGTGAGCGTAATATCTGCATCCGGAGTCGGAGACGATCGCAGGAGTCGGAAAGATAGGCGCAGGATTAGGAAGACACAGACGGACGAAGCAGCGGCGCCGAGGGACAGCACGAGTCAGGAGCTGGTGCCCCCAGGAGGCAGCACAGCCGTCGGTCAGTCGACCGACGGCGTCGGAGTAAAGGTACGGACGATTGACGTCGTCGGCGTAGGTCGGTCCCCAACGCTGGTTCAAGGCGTCCAGCCAGCCAGGCCAGGCTTCGGTCATGGACGTCATCCTCCACTTCCATGGTGGGGCGCCAGAGGAAGGAGTGCATGACCAGCACGCCCGTGGCGCCATGGTCGGCGCCAATTGTGCCGTCGAGGCAGAAAGTGGGTGCACAGAAGCCGTATGCCAGAGTCAATCGCATGGTACCGGGCAGGGCACGTGGCAGGGAACGCAGTGCTCGCGCACGGAGCCAGCGGCACTGATCCGCTGTCAACGTGTCGGGCCAGGGAGGGGCTAATTTCTGCAGTCCCTGGGGCCCGATGGCGAGTCGGAGGTCGGTAGCCGAAGTGGGGTGAATCAGGTAGGCGGCCAGCGCCCAGAATGAGATGGCGCGACGGCCTGGTGAGAACCGAGACCGGCGTGCGGTGGTGTCGCCGTGGCTGGCGGGAAGGCCTGGTGGCCTCCGCCTCCGATATTCATTTTCCTTATAAATAACTCCTCCTTGTCGCACCCCGAGGCCAGCATTTCGCCTGAGACATTCTTACCATTTATGACCCTGAAGTTCAAAACCTGACAGCAGTTTCACGAATGGAGGGCGGGACACTTTCGAAATGCAACTCTCGCCCCAGCGCCGCGCACATTCGTTCAACAAGTTGCAACAGGTTCACGGATCGAGGCCGGCTTGTTTTTTTTGTTAAGTTGCTCTCGCGTTAGCGCCGCGTACATTCGTCTCAAACAATTGAAGGGTTCCACGGATTGAGGATGGCTCCTCTTCATAATGCGGCTCTTGCCTTCGCGTAGCGTACATTCGTTCTGGCAACTGGCAAAAGTTTTACGGATTAAGGGCGGGTCCTTTTCAAAATGCGGCTCTCGCCTTAGCGCCGCGGGCATGCGTGTCAAACATCTGCAAGAGTTTCACTGGTTCTCGTGGTTAACGCACCAGAGACGGCGTTTGGGAACGACTCAGGACTGTCAGGGCGCAACAGTCTTGTTGGTTCGCGGTGCCAGGCATGGTGTTCTGGCACGGTTCAAGATCGCCAAGACGCAACAGTCAGGGTAACTCAGGGCGTTGAAATCTTGAGAATAATGCTTTGGCACGCGTCCGGATTTTCTCACGGTTGTCCTCCAACACTTCTCTCAGTGGAAACGGCCCCTTGAAATTAGGGGCCTGTGAGGAGGGAGCTTCAGGAGAGAGTGTATTCCAACATTGTTGATGAGCCTTGGGTTTACACTTGCCCTCCTCCTTCTCCAGCTCCTCCTCCGCCTCCCCCGCGTGCCAACAGTAGCCGGTGGTCCGACCTGCGCCGTGCGGCTGCGCCTGGTGGCGTGCCATGCTGAGGGGCGCAGGGGGGGCGGGAGCGAGACCCGCGGCGGATTGCGAGCCTCGTTGTCGCCATTGCGTCGGCGCGCTGCAGTGCGGAGCAGCACCTAGAGAGTGGCAAGCTCTCGAGTAGCGGTGGCCAGCCAGGCGAGCCCACGAAGGAAAGTCCAAAATAGGGCGCGCAGGGGGTGGATGAGCAAGCCGGCCCCTTCGAGGCACGGGGTGAGGGGGATGGCATGCGTGACAGCGTGTAGTCTGGCTGTCGTGGGCCTGGTAGCCTTGCCGGGAGGTGCCAGTGGTGCTCGTCGGCAGTTCGGGGGGGGTCGCTAGGTCCTGTCGGTGTCCCGTTAGTGTCCCGTCGGTGTCCCGCGGTGGTGTCCCGTCGGTGTCCCGTCGGTGTCGATGCGCCATGTCGACCTGCTGTTCCATAAGATGGCGACGATGGCGATATCGCACGAAGAATGGGCGGAATTCACTCGACGCCCGTTTTCATGTCCAGTTGACGCAGCGAAAGAGAAAATGCGTCAGGCAATCAAGGAGCGCGCGCCGAAGGGCAAGGCGCAGGCCAAGGGGCCTCGCAAGCGCACTGCCTTCACTTTGAAGCGGGAGCCGACGGCGGTGGCCCTGCCTAAACGCTCTCGAAAGCGGCCAGCCGCAAGCCTTCGCTAGAGGCCGCGCTTTGCTTCGCTAGTCAATCGCACTGGCCGCCCGCCCTCGGTTCCGCAGTCGATTTCTGCCCTTTGCCCTTTGAGAAAAAGTCTGGACACGACGCCTGCGCCCTCAACGTACCCCCCTTATATGTGTGAATATACATATATAGATATATACATATATATATATATATACGTCCACAGGTACATATATATATATACTATATATTCCAAGTGTTCGGCTATGAGATCGTTCAACTGCGCTCTCAACTACATGCTCTGTTTTGATTTTACTACTGATCTAACCGTGGTCGCGAGGATCTGGGTGCTTGGCTGCAACGGGAACTCGAAAACCCGACCCAGGAGCCTTACAACTGAAGGAACTCTGGACCCAAACCAGAACAATCTGGAACCTGGCCGCCCATCGAAATCGGCACGAAACCTATAACGGGGAGGGAAAACGGAACCGGTAACCCAAGAATTGGCCGCCTACCGAAATCGGTGCCGTACAGAATGTTCTGCGCCGTACGGAAAATACGCCTACTCTTTCAGCATCCGTTAGGACCCCTTCAGTGCAAGTATTGAGTGAGGAAAAGGGGGGCAAAGGCGTGGAGAGAGAGCTGCGCCAGCTGCTTTAATCCCACCCCCCAGCCCACAGCCACCCCGCATGGTGCAGGGCAGCTTTGGTGCGTGCCCTCCCCCCTGCTTTCCCCCTCCGTTCCCCCCACGGCTGGCGCTGCAAAGACAACGTGCAGCATCGATCTCCGAAGAAAGCACGCGGTCCCTGTTGAGCGAGCAACGACATATGTACATGTACGCCCTCCGCGATCTTGAATGCACGAACGTCCTCGTTCAAACGCCCTTCAGGGGAAGCTAACCGCGTACGTGTACATATGTTGCTGGCCTTTGACCTGTGGGCGATCCCCCCGCGAGGGCCTCTGCTGTGCACGCCATCCCCCTGCCAGGGCTTCGCTGGCGCACGCTGTCCCCAAGGCGGGGGGATGCCGTGCCGCAGGCGGGCCGGCGGCGCCACATCGCACGCCGTCTTTGCAGAGCCAGGCGTGCCCTCGTGGTTCCGCTGCTGCTCCCCATCCCCATACAGTCGGGGCGTTGACCAAAGGAACCCTAAATAAGGAACGAGGCCCCTTTTTCCCATGGGTTGAACTTCGATTTCCCCTGGAAAGCCTCAGGAGAACCTGAGGCAAACTGTTGAACAATCAAGGAACACCGAGCCCCTCCCCAACGAAAAGGGTTCCTTCTTCAACACCCCGACTGTATCTTCTCCCGTGATTATTCGTCGTGCGGGAGTCCTTCACCGCATCTGCCGCGGCATTGGCCTGATGGCTGGCAGCCTCGTGGACGTCGCCGACGGCCTCGACGGAATCGTCGAGATGATCTCTCGTAGCGACGAGAGCTTTTCCAGCTTTTTCTACCGCCTTGCTTGTATGGTGAGAGCCAGACTTGGGCGTGTCGCCAGCCGTCTCTTGGGCGAGCCCCGTGTTTACATCATGTTCAACCTTGCCGTTGGACACCTTACTTGCGTCAGCCACGACTGAAGTGCCATCGACGATGATCCCGTCGGTATCCTCACCTGCGTCAACAACCGCACTTGCACTGGTGGCGCCACTTCCATCCACCATGGCACCTGCGGGGTCCATCGCAATTCCTCCAACGCCCCTGGCTTCATCCACGGTGGTGCTGCTGGTCACGCCCGCAATGATATCATCAATGAGATCGGGAACTGCGTCTGTCGTGCTGTCCTCATCACGGGGTCCAGAAAACAGAATAGCAACACACCAAATCCCAACTGCACCCCATGGTCACACACCACAGGACCCCGCGAACACTGGACCGGACTGGTGGACACTGCGGGAAGGGACCCAAAAGGCGGGTCCCATGACCACCAGACATCTGCATGCGAGCAAGATACGCTGAGCGGGACCGCACGTCAACTCAACTCGTGACCACCGCGAGCACGAGGCAGCAAACACCCTGCGAAATGCTTAAGAAATCATGGGTTAAGAAATTCATAGTCTCAGAACTTGAATAAAAACCCAACCTTTCTGTTAAAATCTTAAGATTTACATTGAAACAGTAAGAATAATCGAGACTCTGGCCGACAATCTAAGTTTTCTTAAGCATCGCCTAAGGTGTAGATGGGACCCCCCAGACGGAGTCCCGCGGGCGAGACCTGGGTGCCGCCCACCGCTGGGCCCCGCGAGCACGGGACCCTGTGGCCGAGACCGGGTGGACGGGAACCATGGCCACCCACGGGAGCAAAAGACGAGAATACTTCTCCAGGCCGAGCGGAAAGAGCGGCGATGAAGGTGACAGGAAGTGTCGTGTGGTGGGCAGGGACGTATGCAGCAGCATCCTGTAACCTGTCACAAATGATTAGGGCATTATCCCAGTGCGACGCTACCTAGGAATTGGAGCCCCTAGGAAAGCAGCATTAGTCGTAACAGTAAAGCTAAGCTAAAGCTAAGCTAAAGCTAAGCTAAAGCTAAGCAAAAGCTGAGCTACAGCTGAGCTAAAGCTAAGCTAAAGCTAAGCTGAAGCTAAGCTAAAACTAAGCAACAGCTAAACTAAAGCTAAACTAGAGCTAAGCTATAGCTAAGCTAAAGCTAAGCTAAAGCTAAGCTGACGCTAAGCTAAAGCTAAGCTACAGCTAAGCTAAAGCTAAGCTAGCGCTAAGTTAAAGCTAAGCTAACGCTAAGCTAAAGCTAAGCTAAAACTAAGGTAAAGCTAAGGTAAAGCTAAGCTAAAGCTAAGCTAAAGCTAAGCTAAAGCTAAGCTAAATCTAAGATAAAGCTAACCTAAAGCTAAGCTAAAGCTAAGCTAAAGCTAAGCTAAAGTTGAGCTACAGCTAAGCTAAAACTAAGCTAACACTAAGCTAAAGCGAAGCTAAAGCTAAGCTAAAGCGAAGCTAACTATAAGCTAAAGCTAAGCTAAAGCTAAGCTCAAGCTAAGCTCAAGCTAAAGCTAAATAATATGCTAAAACTAAAGCTAAAGCTAAAGCTCCCAGGGGACTGGGGGAATCGCGGGGCAGGGACCGGGGGAACCGCCCGGGGCGGGGAACACTGGCCGGCCCCTTTAAGCTAAGAGAGTAAGAACCCTCTAGGCAGAGCCTAGGTAGGGAATGAAGGCTATACTAAATAGCATACGAGTTCAGACGTTTCTGGGGAGTTCCAAGAGCATCTAGCGATAATACTGCGAAAGGCCGATCAAGTACCCGAACGCACCAGCAACACAATTGCCCTGTCACATTATACAAATAATCATGGGATGTTGCGCGTTTCAAGTGAATACGCAAATTGATTTCTATCGCCGAGTCCGCTGTATTTCCGCACTCCCCTGGAAACTGCTTGTGGATTGCTATGTTCGCAGTGCTGCTTTGAATTCTGCACGTCGGTATCTTTCTCGTTGTGGGATCATGTCAACATGTTGTGCTGCATTGAGGAATTGCATGCGATGACATACGGAACGCACCCCGGAGAGGGTTTCGTGTCCTCCGATGCACTCACGCCATCGCGCCCCATATGATTCGATATAATTATCCTCCTCCCCTGGCCCCTCTGCATTTCTCGTCCCAGATTCCGTGTTGCTGGCGTCAGGCTGCGCGTCTGGAGGGGGAGCCAGCACATTTACTGCGGGAGGAGTCGGCGCATCCACTGTCGGCGCGCCAGTCTCGTTCAGGGCATCCTCGCAGGGCGCAAGAACGTGGAGGATGCGGTAGCAAGGGAGGAGAGGTGGGACAAGTAGGATTCGCCCCCTGGGGGATTTCGCCCCTCTGGGGGAACCAAGTGCGTGCCTCGAGAGTTCCAGAGGTGGCCCTGGTGGCTCAAGAACGCCCAAGTGCCATCTCGAGGGCCCCTGGGACCGAAGTCGAAACCGATGTGATAGCAACAACTGACACCGCCGATGACGCAGGCCAAACCATCACCGCATGTGTCACTGTCACTGCGCCTGCCTCGGACTGCGAAGCGGAACTTGCGTTCCAAATTCCCCCCTCCCGCTCCTTCCAAATCTGCTCCTCCGAATGCCCTCGCGTCATTTGCCTGTACGTCATACGTCACCTTGCCCAGCATGAGCCTCTATGAATATGTCTGCGGCACTGCGACTGTGAGTCGCACCAGCCCTTTAGGGCGTGGGTGGTTCAGAGCGCTTCCTCGTCCCCCTCCACCCTTTTGGTGAAGGTTTTTCAGTGTTCCCTCTTAACTCATACCCCCTCCACCACCCGACCGGCAACCAACCCTGCCCAATGCGGACACTCATGCGCACCTCCCCACGCCATCACTGAGCGATGCACCAAAAACTTGCTGCTTCCACATCTGGAGCATGCGCGGGGGCCCCGCGACCATTTTGCACTGGTTTTTGACAAGGACGGCGAGTGTGCCGGCATATTGCTCGCTGCGCGCAGGCCTACCCCCCCGCCCCCCCACCATCCCTGGCAACAAAGCAACAAACAAAGCATATGGCACATTGCACAGAAATCTGGATCATTCGCGGACGCCCAGCGATCACGTTGAATTTGTTTTCAAGGGACGGCGGGGGAGGGGCAGCATATTGCCTGCTGTGTGCAATGCCATCACCCCCCAACCATCCTTTGCAAAAGCCATGCAACGTGCACAGTGCACCACGCCCCGCGACCACCTTGCATTGGCATTGGGCAGGGACGGCGGGGGGGCAGCATATTGCCTGGTGTGTGCAATGCCGACACCCCCCTACCGCCATCCCCTGCAAACAAACAACATACACTGCACTTTGCATCAACATCGAAATGATGCGCGGACGCCTCGCGGTCACATTGGATTGGTTGGGGGCGGCATACTACCTGCTGCGCGCAGGTCCGCCAAACAAATGCAAAGCAATCGAGGGCGCACACCCGCACACAACAAGCCCGTCGTTACTTCGCGCTGGCTTTTGACAGGGACGGCGGGAGGGTCGACATATTTTCCAATGTGGCGCATCTGGTGCGAGTGGCGCAGCTAGCATGTGCGGCGTACCTCGCAGGTTTCGAACACCTGGCTGGCGTCTGCATTGGTTCCCGATGGTTGTCGATGGCGGCCTCTGTCCATGCTGAGACTCGGGTGCTACTTTTGTGTTTGGAGGGCGGGCGGGAATAAGCGAGACGGCTTGCTGCTTGTGGGTACCTTGACCCCCCTCCCCCCCACACCCACAACCCATGGGTCTCGACGGGGGTCGGGAAGCGGTCAGAGCTTCCAAGAAGGCATCGGGTGAGAAGGCAAACGTCACTGATGCTCCTTAGGTTTTGGGCCCGTTTTGGCCCCCCCAGGGGGGGGGGGTCGAAAGTGGGCCCGTTGGCTCAAATAGCATCGGCGTCGTAGACGGTGTAACCTGGTACGATGTACTCCCGAGATGGGATGCAGGAAAAAGAAAACCACCATTGTCCCGTACTCAAATAATACTGCACCTGACGCAGTATACGGCAGGGGAACGGCAGCGGCTACCCTCGCTATGCGCACATGCAAGCTCGCCTTATTCCCCGCCTGCAATCTCCCTGTGTGTCTCGGGAGGGGAAGAACACGAAGCGCACCGTTTCCTCGTTGCTCTGTTGCGCAACTCGTCCTTGACCTAGTACTGGGCCGCACTGCTATGATAACAAGACGCGGGCGTTAGTTCCTGGCCCTCCGAGGCCCGCCGCGGTTCAACCGCAGCTGCCCGTCCTGCCCCAAACCCAAGGTTGCTGTGCAACCGGGGGAAGCATCGCGCTATGCAACTTGGCAGCTGAGCGCTGATCGTTTGCGCACGTTTGCGCGCCGCCGCGCTCCGGAAGCAACCGAACCAGGGCGGCCGCGCCCGGAACGTTACCAGGTACCGGTGCCCTTCAGTGCGCACGCCCCCGCGCCCAGTAGCGGCGCAAGCGAGGGCCGCTTTGCAGGCGGCAGGCCGGCAGCACCCAGTGACCGCCGTTCGGCGGCCCAGCACAAATGACCCACATTAAATGACCCTGGCGACGCACCCGGCCCCTGCGCAATGCGGGGCATGAGTAGCTTGGGATACGTTCTACGGAGGTGATGACGTGACATGGGCGCATATACCTCTGCGAGCAGCATCCCAAGGATTGCGATGTCCCGCTCAGATCTGCCTGGTACCTCGCTCCGCTGATCCCGCCACCACCCTTCGAAAGTTGCGACGGTTTCGCATATCGCAGCCCCCCGAGGACGGCGAGGCCCCGCTCAGATCTGCGCGGCGCCTCACTCCGCAGGACCCACCACCAGCAACCCTCGAAAGTGGGGACAACTTCGCAGATCGCAGCCCCCCAGGGACGGCGAGGCTCCGCTCAGATCTGCGCGGTGCCTCTCTGACCGCATGACCCACCAGCAGCCCTCGAAAATGGCGACAATTTCACAGATCGCAGCCCCCAGGGACGGCAAGGTCCCGCTGGGATCTGCGCAGTGCCTCGCTCCGCTGGACCCACCAAGAGCCCTCGAAAGTGGCGACAAAAACGCAGATCGCAGACCGCCAGGCACGGCGAGGTCCGGCTCAGATCTGCGCGGTGCCTCCGCTGGACCCACCAGCAGCCCTCGAAAGTGGCGACAGTCCCGCAGATCGCAGCCCCCCAGGGACGGCGAGGTCCCGCTCATATTTGCGCGGTGCCTCATTCCGCAAGACCCACCAGCAGCCCTCGAAATTGGCGACAGTTCCGCAAATCGCAGCCCCCCAGGGACGGCGAGGTCCCGCTCAGATCTGCGCGGTGCCTCACTCCACACGACCCACCAGCAGTCCTCGAAAGTGGGGACAGTTCCGCAGATCGCAACCCCCCAGGCTCGGCGGAAGGATGTTGGGACAGAAAACAGGCAAACCGCTTGAAACATCCACACAAAACGGCCGCGAACGGGACCGTGTCATACCCCTCGGCGGCCCCCCTTAGGGCCGTGAAAATGAGCGCCTCGCTTGAGACATCCTCAAAATCTGCTCCGAAAGCGAAGGATGTGGACAGAAAACAAGCAAACCGCTTGAGACATCCCCACAAAACGGCCGCGAAAGGGACTGTGTAATACCCCTCGGCGGCTCCCCTTAGGGGTGCTGAAACCAGCGCCCAGCCTGAGACATCCTCACAATATTCTATGAGTAGGTCTGAGTATGAGTATGCATGAGTATGAGTAGGTCTGAGTATGAGTAGGTCTGAGTATGAGTAAGTCTGTGTATGAGTAAATCTGTGTATGAGTAAGTCTGGGTGCGAGGAGGAGGAGGAGCAGAAGAAGAGGAAGGAGTAGGAGGCGTCCAAGTAATAACAAGAACCCCATCTTAGGAGATGGGAAAAAACATCGATCTCGAGGTCTTCGGCTCCACTCCGAAGAAGCCGAACATGGGCAACCCGCCTAGAACATCATATGGCAAACGGTTTCTCGGTGGTTCCGAATCTCGTCCGAAGGAGCCGCCGATGGGCCGACCGTGCAGGACTTCCTGCACAAGAAACGGTTTCCCGGGTGAACCACTGTCAAACGGGAGCGCGCCCCGCGCGGGATCGGGGTTCGCGCGGGGGCGCGGCTGCTCGCGCCTGTCCAGGAGGCACGCGTTGCCGCGCCCTTCCAGCATAGCGTTTGCTCTGCATTCGCGCGGCGCCGTGCCTCTCAAATCGGACTAAACTTTCGGAGCGCCGATGTATGTTCGCAGCGCTGCTCTGAATTATGCACGTCGATATCTTCTCGTTGTGGGATCATGTCAACATGTTGTGCTGCATTGAGCAGTGGCATGTGATGGCATATCGAACGGACCCCAAAGAGGATGTCGTGTCCCCCGCTGCTCGCACGTCATCGTGCCCCATATGATCCGATATACTTATCCTGCTTCCCTGGCCGCACCGCATTCTCGTCCCAGATTCCGTGCTGCTGGCGTCAGGCTGCGCGTCTGGAGGGGGAGCCGGTACATCTACTGCGGGAGGAGTCGGCGCATCCACTGTCGGCGCGCCAGTCTCGTTCAGGACATCCTCACATGGAGCCCAAAACGGGAGATAAGGTGTGCAGGGAGGAGGGGAGGTGGGACGCGTAGGATTGCGCCCCCATGGGGGAGCCAAATGCGTGCCTCGAGAGTTCCACAGGTGGCCCCGGGTGGTCGTGAACCCCAAGGTGCGAGCTCGAGGGTTCCAGGGACCGACGGCGAAGCCGATCTTAGACCATCAATTGACACCGCCGATGGCGCAGGCCAAAGCATTACCGCATGTGTCGTTGTCACTGCGCCTGCCTCGGAGCACTCCACCAGAAACACTTAAAGCCAGGCGCACCCCCATGTGCGAAATAGGATTTGCGCTCCAGCTTCCCCGTCAGATCATTTCCGACATATGTCTCCTCCTCCTCCTCCCAAACGTCTGCCTCCTCCCCGACCTCTTCAGCTTCCTCAACCTTGTCCTTCCCCCTCATTGCCCCGCTTCCCTCTGGTGCCGTTATCACTGCACCTCTATCAAGGAAGGGCTGTGTATCATCGTGGTGCGACCTGCAGGCGCTCCTCTGAAGGATTATCCTTGCACTCTAAGTGCAGTACTGATGTGAAAATGTCGGGGCGGGTGCTCGAAGGAAGCCAATTCGTGGACTCGAAGATGGGAGCGCGAAGCAGGCGGGCGGGAGGGAGAGTCCGGTCTCGCACAGGGGCGGCGTCTGGCTTGGTACTTCAACCCAGGTGCGACATGTATCATCACAGGCATCTGCATGTATTGCACGAGCATCCACAACTCTCGAGCGATTACGCGAAAATATGCATCCGAACCCCGCTTGACCAGTCCTCGGAAGAAGCAACTTGAGGTCACCCCTGCACGGCTACTTCGCAAGCGCGCGCAATTGGAACCGCAACCGACGACATGGTGGTAAGTACTAGTCACCAAACGGGGCAAGACGACACTTGTGTTTTTCGTCAATACCACACTTGGCGAAACTGCGGATACTCCAGAACTGTCAACGTAAGACAAAATACCGAACCTGACCTTCACAACAATGCGATGCTACGGTTGCAGAGCCCTTGCAAGACGCCCACCACCCCACCCGTCCCAGCCTTCTCTCCCATCTCCCCTCTCCCACATCTGATCCCCTCCGTCCCCTTACCTCGCCCTCTCGTTCTGTCCCCCTTGAGGAGGGCACACATGGGAAGCATGCAATTCGCGCAGTCAGTGCCTTTGGAAGCGCCGCCCCAGGAGCACGGGGAAGAGGAGGAGCACTGCGGATGGGAAAGGAATGGAACACGTTGGTCCCGCGCCTCGCTCTCCTCGCCCGGCAGTGGTTGACGCGGAATGCCACCGGCGAGAGGCCCCTTGGTCAGGTCGCCACCGAGAATGTCGCAGCTCCACGGGGTCTGAAACTCGGGGTTGTGGTCCTCCATTCAGTGCAAGCTCTTAGCCTCCCACTCTTCCTCCTCCTCTTGCTGCTCATCCTCTCGCTTGTCTGCTAAGGGTTGCTGCGAATGCGGGTGCTGCGAAGGCACTTGTGTTGCTGCAGCACAGCCTTATGTGCTGTGCTGCCTCCAAGCTAGGCGGGGCAAACCGATTATACTGCGTTGCCCAGGGATACAAGATTCACCGACAAACCCTGTTCTTGCGTCGCGAAAACCGACCACGTGATTCGGAAGGCGGGGAGGCCTTGCCCCCCACGGGCTGCTGAAAAACAGCCCATTTCGGTCGACCTTTGCGGCACAGTCAACTGCCACCTCGCAGGCGTTTTGCAACCTGGCGCTCGCCCCCGGCAACCATGCGCCAACAACGATGCAAACAAGCGGGCAGCTAACGGAACACCAGGGTGATTCGCTTGGGCAAAGGCAGCCCTGGCTCAGCCCAGACATCCTCGATCCTCGACGCCTCCTCCTACTGGCTACGGTTTCGCCCCCAGCACCTGCTGAACATCGCCAAGCCGAGGACGAAAGTGACGGAAACCGCGCAAAGGTGGCAGGAGGGGGGCGGCAGCCTAAGAACACGGGATTTCCAGGATTTCCGCCATCACGTAATGATAAAGCCTGAGAACACGGGGGGGGGGTCCAACAAGGCAGACAGGGACGTTTCCAAGCAGGCGGGGGGGCAGGAACGTTTCTGAAAGGTCCTCCTGGCTTTCAAGGAGCCTTCGTAGGAGCTTTCGGGCCCCGAAAGCGCAAACGCCTTCTAAGAAGACCCCCGCGCCATCTTAGAAGGCCGCCCCCTCGCGCCACCCCATTGTGGGCGCGGCTGACGAAAGCGTAGGACATCGCGACGGTCCGTCAGCGCTCGCTGCCAGGGCTGGCCGCCCAACACTGCCCGGCCCCCCAGCCACGCGGTGGCCGCCCACCTTCCGGCCAAGCGCGCTGCGCATCAGGCGGGCGGTGGCCTAGCGCAGCGCTGCACTGCATCCTCCTTGTCTTGCGAAAGCCACAAGGCGATCCGCCAGAAGCGTTAGGAGCGGCCGCAGGACCCGCGGCCGACAGCCCAGGCAGCCTCGAACTCGGTGGACAAGTCACAGGCGCAGCGAGAGCTCGGAAAAACTTGCCGAATCGTGGACGAAAGCTCCTCCAACTGCAACTCCCCCCCCCCGGCCTCCACCACCGCTAATCCGAGCAAGCAAGACTGCCACGTCCGCGAAACGTTCGCAATGCCTACTTCGCTTTGGGCTTGTTACCCCCTGAACAAGGGGGGAACGCCAGAAGGCACGACGGTGCCAGGATGATGCGGTGAGAAGAAGGAGCGAAGGAAACAGACACAAGGCACAGACATACAGCGAGACAGCGCAGCAAGGACAAGCAGGGTCTGAAGAGGCCCTACGGGGGGCGCCATTTGCCGCTTTCGCAACTGAGAGCCGACCCCAGAGACACACATTGTTTTTCTCATCGGGAGGAAAAGAGATGGGGAGCGCGAGAACATTGACATTCACTACGGCGTGACTTGCACAGTAACGTGAAGCAGAAGATCGCTAGGCAAATTCGGATCGCTATACGAGACGGCGTGCCATAGGCAAATCTGTTCGATAAACTGTAGCCACGGATAGAAACGATGAAAGCTAACAAACTGTCGCGTTTACAAGCTTTTTCTTAAGGCTTTGCGGCTTCGGTCGTTCGTAGAGACACATGTTGAAATGCGCGCAGCATCATGGGAGAGACACAGAGCAATCAACAGCACGAACATACTGATGTGAACAAGGGGAAAGAGGAGAATACCTGCAAATGCGTAAAATCATAAGAAGCAGCCGTGCCAGCGGAGCGGCGCTGGGGGTTTGTTCCATACCCTGCCGATTGCGCCTCGCGCAGGCGTGGGCTGAGACAAATGCGCGCAAAAAGTCGTGCTCGCTCAGATCGATCCAGCTCCGAACCAGGGCGCCAGCGACAAGGGGTCGCGAGCGGTCCTCCTCCTCCTCCTCCTCCTCCTCCTTCTTTTCGTGATCCTCCTCCTCCTTTCCTTTCTCCCCCTCCCTCTCCCCCCACCCTCCACTTCCTCATCCTCGTCCACCTCCTCCTCCTCCTCCTCCTCCTCCTCCTCCTCCTCCTTCCACTCGTACAGGCCTTTCCGCCTGTACTGATGCAGCACCGCTCCAGCGCGAAAGGCCGCTGGCCCATTCACCTGTCAGACATCTACGCGGCCGCATATGGCCGCCGTGGTCGCAACAGCGCGAGACCCCGTGCGACTCGCAACCAATTCCCCTGGTGACGCCCCACAACTCCAAGCATACAAGTATCAATCTCGCTCACCAAAAACCTGTCCTGCACCGAATCTCAAACCAGCCGAACCACTCAGCATGCCTTCCCAAAGCCCTCAGCAGCGCAGATCATACGAGCTGCCACCTCTGTGGCCCTCGCCGCCTCCCTCAGACGCCATGCTGCCCTCAATTGGCTGATTTCCGCGATGGCCTTTTCTCGTTTGGCTGGACTCAGAATGCTCGCGCATCACGGTTCCACGCATGTTCGTAGTGCCTGTCGCCCTTGATCATGACCTTCATGCCAAGCGCATGGTCACACAAGGCGATGCGACTATCCCATGTGGTTTGCGACTCGGCATCTCTTTAATTATCTTGCCATAGTGCGCTGGCCTGATCCCCATGGGGGGTCTGACCAGCATGGCTCGCCAAAGCGCGATGACAGGCTGCGCTATCATTGATCAAATTCCGAAATCACGACCCCATATCACAAACAACACCATCACCCGAAATAGTGCGATGGGGACGACAGGGAAGCACACCCCCTAACCGTTGTCGACGAAGTGGAAGGCTCGGCGGTTGCATGTCTGCTTGCGTTTCCACTCGCGCAGCTGGCGGCGCCAGAAACCATAGGTTCCCCGCGCCCCCCCGAAGTGCTGCTCTCTTACTGCCTGCCTCGAGATTTCAGCTTCAAGCGGCGTCATCTTGTCGCCGCTATCAATCAGCCACTAGCTGCAAGTGTTTACGCGGCGCCTTCATCGCGCATCCCCAGGCGCCGCGCCGCGTGCCCAGCGCCGCAAGTTGCGCTGCATCCAGCGGACGATGGGTCCAAAGCGTGTTTCCTCCAGGCTGGGATAGACGAAATGACCCGCCCGCGCTCGCAGCGCGCGCGCCGGTCTTCCTCGGGCAGCTCATCTTCTTGAGCATGTCGAACCCGATCAAGCTCGCGCTGCTAATGCGTTTGCATATTCTCGAGCTCCGACGCCTGGGACAGGCCCCAGGCCTGGCGCATCTCTAACCGCTACTGGCTCGCATGGCTGTTGGCGAACACAGACCGCTGCCGCACTGTCCAGCCCACGCTGTCGAAGTTATTGTCGAAGCTTGTTAAACGGCAGAGATCCGCAACCGAAGTCTCAGCCCGAGGACCTGGGTGCCCAGCGGGTCCCAGCATTTTGGCCGAGTGGGAAGCATAACATAGCGCCCCATGGGTTTTCAGAAGCCGAAAACGAAATATACCGGCCGTTCCTTTTCTGCCGCGTGTTCTACGGAAGCCCTTCGCGAACCCGCGACTATCTTCATGTCGTCGAACTGCCCCTCAAAATCTTGGTGGCGCAGCCTGCCTTGAACTGCGCGGTGAGCTGCTGGCCCCAGTCCATCGAGACGCTCCATTCACGACTGAGACGCACTGTGCAGCCTTGACCAAGTAAGTTCAATAAGCGCTAGTCATCGCGCCGCACGGGTTCGTCTTGGCGGGGAGCGACATTTTACCGAACTTGGTAAACATTCGCCCGCTGGGTCCGATCGCCACCGCTTGCATCTGATAAGAAGAGACAGCCCGAGGTCCCGGCTGCCCCATGGCGGTCGAGCAAGGCCCCCATGCCCTTCTCATTTTGAACTACGTAGATCTTCGCCCCCCAGATCTCCGACGCCGGGGGCGCCCCCGCGGGCCCCTCGAAACGCGCTCGCACACTGACTGGATGATGCGGCCCCGGCATGATCATCATGCCTGGCTTCGCTCTCTTGTCATTGACTCAGAACCCATGCGCCGTCGTCGCATAACGCGCTGCGTCCGCCATCTCACTGGGCTGCCGCGCCGCGTCCAACGTCGGCCATGGGGCCCGAGGAAAAAACGCGTCACCGACGAAAGATGTCCGACGCAAGTCTCGGGGGTCTGCTTTCTCTGAGAAGCGCAGCGACATATCCTCCGCGGCCGCGTCGATCCCAGCGCCGCGACTCCTCGGCGCGACCTGCGCCGCCTCCGACGGCTCGCCGAACGCCGCGTCGAAAACAAAAAAAACACCCCCCCAAAAAAAAAAAAAAACACGCATCTCCTCGGCCGAATGATCCTTCGTGACCTGACCGCTTCCCCCGCGGGCGCCCGGCGCCGGGGCGCGCGCCGCTGCGTGGGCGGCCCTCGACCGGCGGGGCAGACGCGCAGCGAGGCTCCAAATCCACTCGGGGGCGCAAGCTAGTCATGGGCGATAGAAAAGAAAGGGGGCATTCCGACGCGCATCTCGCGATTGCGGAGCAAGAAGTCCGACTCGCCATCCTCGTCCGCGGCTCTAGGGCGCACCGCGCTCGGCGTCGCGGAACAAGCGGCACGCGCGCAATGGCCCTCGCACAAAAAGGAAAGGGGAAGAGGAGGGGGTGGCGGAGGAGGAAGGCGAGGGGGGGGGGGGGGGGCAAGACATCGCTCCTCGGGGCCCAGCAACGGGGCCCAAATCCCAAGCGGGGAGAGGGGGGGAGGCGGCGCGCGTCGCGGAGCGGAATAAAATGCTCGGAGAGGAGGGGGCACGGGGCGGAGGGGCGCTGGGGGCACGGAGAGGATGGGGGGAAGGTGGCGCGCGTCGCGACGCGGAATAAAATGGTCGGGGCGGAGGGGGCATTGGGCGGGGCTCGGGGCAGAAGGCCACGGGGCGGGGGTCCAATTGGGGCGCTGGGGGCGGGGGGGGAGGCGGCGCGTGTCGCGACGCGGGATAAACTTGTCGGGCCGGAGGGGCACGGGGC